CAATCATTCGTTGTTGCATCTCTGTCCCTTCATTATTATCATTAGTGACAACAGAACCCAAGTATTTGAATTCATTTATTTGTTGTATTTTGCTCTCATTCAGAGTTATTGTGGTATTTTTTATTCCCTTCCTTATTTGGGCCATTGTTTTAGTTGTATCAGCATTAATACTTACTCCAGTTTCCTTCGCCTTAAAGCTTAGGTCTTGTAATGTTTCCGTAACCGTCGATATTAATCTTCCCATAATGTTTAAGTCATCTGCATACCCAACTATCTGTACTGTAGGAGCGTATTTCTCAGATCTACATTTATTTGTTTAACCACCCAGTCCAACGCAAGATAAAACAGTGAGGGAGCCAATTCGTCACCTTGTTTTAACCCTTGTCTGATTTCAAAAGCCTCTGTTTTACGTCCTCTGTTACTTCACTACTGCTTTGGTTGTGGTCATTGTTAAGCGTATAAGATGTATCAGTTTTACTGGTATTCCTTGATTCCTTGGTGTCTCAGCTTATTTCCAGCAATACTATCGTACACTTGTTTGAAATGCACAAAAACGTGATATACACCAATACCATGTTCCCATCACTTCTCCGTTATCTGCCTCGCCGTAAATATTTGATCAGTGGTAGATTTTCCATTCCTAAAACCGGCTTGGTATTCTCCCAGAATGGTTTCTGTGTATTTTTTAAGTATTTTCCTAACAATATACGTAGATCTTGTATACAATAGTGTTATACCTTGAATTGTGGCATTCCAGCTTGTCTCCTTTCTTGTATATAGGGCATATGGTTCCAGTATTCCGTTACATAGGTATAGTTTCGTTCTGCCATATCTTCTTAATCAACCACCAAATAGCTCGCACTGTATGTTCTCCTCCGGCTTTGATTAACTCCGAAGGCAGCGCGTCACCCCCAAGGGTCTTATTATTTTTTAATGACCTCACTGCTTCTTCTCCATATTCGGTTCTTCCGCCATTTCTTCTTCCTCTCCCTCCACCTGCATATTTTCCTCCATTGATGTTCCCCATGCGTCCATGGGATTCAGGAGCTCCCTGAAGTACTCTACCCATCTCTGCTTAATTCATTCTGGTTCGCTTACCCGTCCTTATTTCTCACAGTTTGTCTTAGGGGCATATCCCTTCTTAAAACTCTTTATGCCTTTGTATGCCAGGCTCAGAGTTGCGAAAATCGCGGTATAGTATTACGTTTTGTGCTGGTTACGGACGGTTACACCGCCACTCGCATGTTTTGGCTTCAAAAAACATGGCGACCATTAGTTCGGCGAGCCTCCACCAACAGCGCTGAAACTAGGGACAGCCACTCTATCTAGTATATTCCAGCTCGTTGATTTAATTAGTAATTCACAATCGTTGTTGGACTGATTTGTTCGTGCAAAATGAATGAATATTGTGAAGTTCTTGCAGAAATTCTCGTAAGAGCTATTAAAGTTACAAGCACTGGTTTCCAGTACAATATTGTAACCACATGCTTTGTGTGGCTGCCCCGACTCCCTTGATTACTTGTATTTCGTCCGATCCTGCGTTGCCCCGGCTACTCAGTCCTCGGACTTCCTAAAGGGAGGCATGCGTGATAGAGCTAACTCTAATGCTAACACTACGTTTAAGTTCATTGTTTCATTTTTTAAAGTGGTTTTAATGTTCCTTACTGAACGAGGTGAAGCCTTTGGCTAAAATTAATCCTTAGAACTACCTTATATCTAATTTATTTTATAAGAACAATGAGCCAGAGTACATCATCGGCTGCCAGATGGTGTCCTTCCCGGCGGTTACGATCTTGGTTACGGGAGCACCGTTGTCGGCAGGCTGTGTCTTACCTCACCCCGCCTAATAGCAAAACGGTCGGGGCGACAGGCGACGTGATACAGTCGCTGCAGCGTCGATGCGGCGTGGTGGCGTCATTAGGCACCAACAGCGCTGCTCCGGACATCGGCGGCACGGTTCACGGCTGTGTTAATTGCGCCTCGGCCCGCCGTCACTCTGGGCTCGCAGTCGGGCACTTTACAGTCATGGCCCACTACGTTCGTTCTGAGTCAGCGTCCCCAGAGGCGGTCTGCGATAAGGCGATGCGGCAATGAATTCAGGCGGTAGCGCGGCGGTGATGCGGTAATGTATCCGCTGGCGTCCCCCTGTGAGTCAAAGCAGCTCGCCCTCACCCCCACCTTGGTAAGGCCCACCTACTTCTCGTCGTCTCCCTGATCGGATTCGAAATGGAAATGACAAAGCTAGCGTCTTGCAGTTGCCTCCTCGGCTTCGCGAGTCACGTGGCCCTCCCCCGCTTCATTTCCCGCGATTGGCGGGTGCGCTTCACGCGGTTTTTTCCGCCCAATCGCGGCGTTGTTGATGAACGCCCGAGTCTCGCCAAATTCTGCGAAACTCGCATGTCATCCAAGTTCCAAGAAAAGGGTGCAGCGGTGTTGCTGGGTTCGGAGACAACGGAGTCCATATTTCCCCGTAAGTCACCGGATGCAGCCAGGCGTCGGTTGTGCCGAGACAATAGGGCTGCATGCCTCAGAGTCCCCGACGCTCTGAATACGCTTGCAGGTAGCGAAAAACTGCACGTTTCCTCGTATCTTTCGCAGCAACGTTATATTCAATACAATTTTAAAAAGCGCGTCGCCACCTGACGCTTGCGACCGTCCCATTACAATATCGAGAAGTATATGAAAAGGGTGATGATGTATTTGAGATTTTATGGAAAATAAGAGTGTGAATTGCGTTGTAGAAACAGATTTTTTATGTTATTTGCCTCTATTGCCGAAAATTATTTAGAATATTTCTTAACATAAAAAAATAACAATTTGAGCCGATGTGCCATATACATCTTATTACTACTAGTAGTACTCTGTTACCCAAGAAGCATGTGTGAAAAATGTAGTTTGTTTGGCGATAGAACAGAAAAGTTTTAAAAAAATGTATTTTGGGCGGCGATAGATGGTAACAGGAATGAGGGTGGGGCAAAACCAAAAAGTTAGCACCAGACCAAAGAAATTGGAGAACTAACTGGAACGAAAAAAATCTGTGCCATTCTGAAGCACAAGTTTATTGTTAATTGATATTCTGTAAGTACATTGAAAGTTATCTTTATACATTTTTATTTTCTCACGCTTACTTCCTAAGAAGAGAAAGTTATGTAATCGGGCGCCGGAAAACGGCGAATTTTCCACTGAAAAACTTTCCTTGCCGGGCCCTATTACCAAAAAACTTTATAATCTTGTTGCTGTGTACAGTAAATTACTCCTATCCTCTAACAGGTGGTGTAGCTAAAATTCATGTTTTGTGATTCCTTGATACCGCAAAATGGATTGACAACAAAACGTCTATCTGTATGTATATCCGACCTCCTGTGTTCAACAGCCGAATTTCTCCAAAATTTATATTCCCGATTCATCTGAGCGAACTCAAGGCTTTAGAAGTATCAACCTGAAATTTTACATGAAGCATCAAAAAAATCATCAATTTTTTTTCAAAAAGTCTTCAATTTTTTTTATTTAACTCTTTCCTTGGATAAAGCACACTTTAAAAAATGATGCAGGTATCAAGTTCGTAGAAATCTCTGATTTTTCGAACCTGCAATATTTCTTGCTGTCTTTCTGCAACGTCAATATTGAAGATATATATTTTTTCTTAATATTTTTTGTAAGAAAACACCTTAAAATAAGTTCACGTTCAATTTTTTGAAAATATGCGTAGTATCCACGTACTTTTGCTCAAAATATAGGCAATTAACACTTTTTTTTTCAAAACCCGCTCCAACTTTTTCTTTGCATTTAGTCGTCATATGTATAAAGGGACGATAAAAAAATATGGTTATTAGCCCCATTTTCGGCGAACTTTCGGCATTCTCGAAAATTGCTGCAACTTAACATTATAAAACTGCAAAATTCAAGGTAGAGATTATTACTTTAAACAAAATCTGTTCCAAAAAAATCATTTCTTAAAAAAAGGTTATGTACATTGTGAAACGAATTGTTTTTGCTTTATTTTGTCTGAATTGTATTCATTTCATAAAAAAAAACATTTTCTCAAATCCGTTCCAAATATTTTCTTCATCCTCCCCCTCCACGGATAGAAGCATGAATGCGGGTCTTATTTTCGTTGATATCTCTAAATTTTAGAAAATTACGAAACTATGTGCTGTTGAGCACCACTAGTTTAAAGAAATAAACACGTGTCGTTAATCACTTTCCCTCTTAGTAAGGAAATGGAAGGATATTGAAGAGGGCGGGGTTTAAAATGCGTGACTTCTCACACAGGTATAGTAGTACATACAAGATACGGTTACAATATACAGATTATAGGCATAGACTAATGTGCCATTCCTTTGTGATTATTGTCAATTTTAAAAGTATCTGTACGATCTACACGTCTTGTAGTTTCATTTATCTAGGCAAACATACCCGAACAATAGAGGGGCGGCATCTACATTTCTTGGTATGTCACTTCCACTTATACTTATTTAACTACATATTTTACTAGGAAAGAACCATAATATACTAGAAGGATAATTAAATTAGTTAATAATTAATAAAAGCAATTGATTTTATGTTGAACAATTTACAGAGTGGCCAGGTTGCTTGGAAAGCTTCATGTCCAAATGTCATGTATTAATTCCCCAAGTTCTCAGATAGAAAACAGGAAAATCAATAATTGAACAAAATGTACGGGAATGATATGTCTGCAAAGTACCGTTTTCACATTTTCAGGGGGGCCACTGCTCCAGTGGCCCTTCCTGTGCCACGCCTATATTGTCATTTATATAAGGAATTTAACATTTTTACTGAAATAAAATGTTTTATTGAAAATCTACGGGGCTCTTTTCACAATTTTGTTATGGAAGCCACTGGCCAACTGCCTCTCCTGCCGCTGTGCATAGCCTATGAAACTATTCCCTAACTAACTAATTCATTACTTCATGGAGCGCTTCAAATATTCCTTAGTACACGTTACGGCATCTACCGGCGTTTCAACTAGTTACTAACACATGGCATCTCTTGCGAAGATCCAGAGAGTAATATGAGAAATGGTACAGATGAAACAAAAACAAACCAAACGGTTATCAGCAGAGAGTGTGTCATGAGTCCAAGAGTGTTATATTCCCGAAGTTTGCAAGTAGTTTGCAAGGCCTGTCAGGGAATGCTGTATCGTATTGAATTGTCGGTAGTCCGGTACAAGTCATAAATCAACATCACTTTCGCAACTTAACTTCACGTGGACGATTAACATGTTGTAGGCTGCATGTTGACAACGAATTGCAAAACTTCATCCATCAAATTATATAGAAAATACTGCCTGATTTTCCCGGTTAATGTTGGATGGACTGATACTTCCTGAAACAAACAAGGAAAAGAAGCAAAATTTTATTATAGAAATGACTCGTGTTGCAACACATTTTCATATCTAAATTTCCGGCTATATTCGGGGTGAATTTCTCTTTTAAAGTTGTCTGACATACAAGCCGTCGTAAGTATTAGTATGACATTCTTTTAACTTTTAGGTTATATTATTCACTAAAATCGTTGTATTTCTTATAGAAAGTGATTAGTCAAGAAGCACTTCTCTCCAAAATGGTCATGGGACCCAACGACCACCTTCTTCAAGCAGATATAATTTTTGTCATAGAAGGAACAGCAATAAATGGAGCTTACCTCAATGATATGAGGACCAACTATGTTGTTCCAACGTTAGAGTGAGTGTTTTTATATCAATCTTTATTTTCATGTACCTATAATATATCATTGTAATTGTATTAACATGAATTTTTCCAGGTACTTCAGTTCAGGTAGCATTGAAGAGCGAGACTATGTGGCAGAGGTATGTCATTGACTGGGAAATAGTGAATGTAGTTTAAAGTGCTTGATTCTATATAATAATTAATTTTCAGAGTACAAGTATGCAGTATGGGATGGTGGTGTACCATGCGGCTGATTGCCTTCCAAGTCCTAGTAGCAACAGCTATGGACCATATTCCACCCCTCAGAAATTATTGAATATTTTGGATAGACTTGAGTGAGTCAATTATAAGTATTTGTACTCATGTGCTAATTAATAAGTTTTACATAGCTCCATTTTTGGATATCCATTGTATCATGTGTTTTGAGTTAAATGACATAAAATGTTACTGACAATGTATGGCTGAATGAAAATTTGTACTTGGTAATATATTGTCTTGGCTTCTTTTTGGCACATTCACCCTATTTTGCTGTGTGCAGAAAAGATCGGAGCTTAAATATTATTTCTCAGATTACTATAGTTGGAGTTTTCGAGCATAGAAAGATTTTGACATTTTTAAGTTCATATTTTAAATTAATTCCAATAACTAAATAAAAAAATAATGATTAAAATTTCTTTTAGTTTTTCTAAAGTAGATGTGGTTTATGTAAATTGAAAAATGAATTATTTTTGTCCATTATTCAGGTTAGTTGGTGGTAAAGGAGAGTCTCATGCTAACATTGCTGAAGGTCTTGCCACTGCTTTGCAGTGTTTTGAGGACTTACAACAGCGACGTGAACCAAATTTACAAAAGTTGCAGAAACACTGTATACTAGTGTGCAATAGCCCACCTTATTTGCTTCCTGTTATGGAGACACCTGCATTTGCTGGCCATACAGTAAGTAATTTCATTTCATGCGACTATTTGTTGGTGGATTTATTGTGACAGGTTTTATCACATTATAATAATAAAATTTTTTATTGTTCATATTACTTTGTTTGCAAGTTTCAAATAATGTCAATCAGGACTTAGATTAAAGTAGTTACATTTAATACTTGCAATTATATTAAGGTATTTTATGTATTTTTATTTGGACATGCAAATACAGAGTATTGTTATGTTTACATGTTGATGTTGCTCATTGCAATTTAAATTCTAGAACAGTTAATACTGAAATAATATATATTTCTATTGTAAAAAGAACAGTAAATCCAAAGTATTTATGTGATAATATGTTAAAGAATAAAATGTTTAATAATATTAATTATATTTGTTTGATTGTGCACATTTCAAAAGTTCATTAATGGTATAAACAATAACATTTATTTGTTATTTATATCTTGGATTTACAAGTGTCAAGTTGTAACAGTAACAATATTCCTTATTTCACTTAATTTATATAGGCAAATCTCAATTAGGTATGTTTTTAATAATCTTTTGAAACTGTCTTTACTTGTTTTAATATTATTAGGAATTTGTTTGAGAGTATTATTGCTTTCGTATAGGGATCTTTGTTTGTTGATGTTTTATCTATGTACATCCTGTGGTAGTTAAGCTGTCCCAGAGTATTCTGATTGTGTACTGTACTGTATTGTTTTGTATGGAGCACTAACGAGTGTTTTTCTCGTTAAGAGTATCATTCACATGCAATGCTATATAATTTAAAATGTATTGTAATCTTGTTTGCAATTTGTAACAACTAAATTTGATGCATTTCTCTCACAGAAAAGTTGGTATATTTATATTTTGGTGAAGTCATGTTCTGAGCTGCTTTTATAATTTGAACTTTAAATTTAATGTCTTCTACCATAAACAGTATTCATTCCTAATATTAATAATGGAAAGAAATAATATGAAAATCTCATCTATTAGTTCTACCTTGTTTGTTCTAGGTAGAGCAGTTAGCTTCACTTCTTCAAGAACGTGGAATTCATTTATCTGTTCTTTCTCCAAGGAAAATTCCAGCTTTATTTAAATTATATGAGAAAGCAGGTGGAGACCTGCAAACATCACAAACAAAAAATTATGCTAAGGATCCTCGTCATCTTGTATTACTTAATGGATACAGGTATGCAGATTTTTATGTTATAATAATTAAGAAATTTTAGTCACATGTAGGTACATGTAATATGGTTATATTTTTTTACATGATGCGATTTGAGTGAGGTATTCATTGCTGTACATATTGCTCGTTGGGGCATACAACATACAGTTTATCAGTGTTTATGTTTGATAGCTATACCTCACAAGATGCCACATTGCACATTACAACATTTCCTTAGCCATGCTTGCCTTAGGTTTTCTGCTAGTACATCCAAATTCAACAAAGAACATTTTGCACTGTCCCCTTACTGGGAGACAACTAGAGTAGTGTGTTATTAGAGATGATGCTGTAATAGCTTTTCACTGTGAAACTGCTGGTAGCAACATCTCATGACACAGTGTGTGGCTACATTGTATAGTGTGAATACAAAATGTGTGTCGCTTCCCCTCTACAAAATTTATCAGTGGCCCTCAGCATATTACACAGATTTTCATCGGACATTGAAGTAAATTATTTTAAAAGAATTAATATATTATGGGTAGATTTCCACTGGCAAGGTTTTACATTCTTTTTGCAATTTCTGTGAACTACCTCTTGCCCATTTTAAAAACTTAACATTACATAGTACTCACAGTAAATTCCTATTCCTATTTGCAATATAATAAAATATGTAGAATTAAAATATTTCCAAAATTTACCTTTTTTCTTTTAGATGCATGTAACCCATTTTTACTTTTTCATATAAGGATTCATATACATAGTATAGAGAAAGTTATGTAATGCTGTGTGGAAAAATGGAGGAATAAAAATTCATTGTTGGTCTCCGATAATGAAAAAGTGGATAAATCAAGTTGGTAAATTCAGGGGGGGGGGGGATCCTATAACGCATGGTTGAGCAAGAATCCCTGATTTGTGAGTCCTTGATACTGTTTGAAAAACATTCTTTAAAATTTGGGGGTACTTTACATGAAGCCCTTGGGACATTATCAAAATTTTCTCATAAAAAGATCCAAATTTTTTTTCTTAAATTTTCTTTCTGGTACGAATAGAGTAAAATGGATTTATAAAGGTGGCAGATTTTCACATTTAACTCTAAATTTTTAACAATTGCAAAAATGAAAATTTTTTTCAGCATCTTCCAACAATTAAATGAATTGAAGATAAGAGAAAAGAAAAACTGAAGATAAAGATTTTTCCTTCAAATCAAATTTGTTCTCCATATTTAGTTCTTTCATGAAGATCATGTACATTTTTTTTTCAAAATTTTTGTGTTTACACAATATTGCATACAAGATATAATTTTTTGGCTTGGTCTCTCACAACATTAATATTTACATTAGCAGCAATTTATACACATTATTCTGTTTATGTGTACAGTTTCTGTAAAAATGAGTTGAAATCCTGCATTTTCAGAAATGATCAAATACCATTTTCTCAAAAATGGCTCCAAATTTTTCCTTCAAACTTTCCCAACAGATAGTGCACTGTTTAATACAACATAAAGATCATTTTGGGGTATTCTTTTGGTTTTTCAAAATTTATACAAATGTAAATTTTTTTTCTAATACTTCTCACTCTATTAGTGTGCACATTTCCAGTGATTTGTAAACATAGCATTTATGAGTTAAAGTGCTTCAAATGACTTCAAATTAAGTTTTACAAGAACTTAAAAGATTTGTGTAAAAGAGTTTTAAATTTCGCATTTATAGTATTGTTTAAACAGCATTTTCTTTAAAACAGTTCCAAATTTTTCAATGAAAATTGCTACTTGGTAGGTGGTTTACTATTCTTTTTTAATATAAGTAATTAATTAATATTTCACTCCTACTATTAACAAACAGAAAAATTGAAAAAATGTACTCTAAAAGGTGTATGTTTGCCGGCAATAGATGTTAGCTGGGAAGATTGTGACAAGTCCGAATTGCTAGTCCAGAACAAAGAAAATAGAAAACTAATACAAGAAAGTGTGTGCCATTATATAGCTCCATTAGTTTACTACTATCCTTTTTATATGACAGTGCACTTAGCATTTTTCGCTCCTAATTTGGTTCATTTTTTATCAGTTGTCAATGTAAACTGCTTTTTAGAACTTTATCTGCTGATTAAGTTATAATTGATTGAATAGTTTTAGCCTTCTTGATAAATAATAACTTGTAAATATTCCGTTTTTTTTTCTTACCCAATGAATGCTTTTTTAGAACACAGTAAAGTGAAAAACTCATAAAATGAATAACTATCATTGTATCATTCAAATGATGAATTATGTATTAATTACTGTAGTTTTTCAAATATGTTCCTATGTTTATTTCCCAATATTTTATTTAATCTAGTGCAAGTGAAATTTGGAAGAATATTTAGGTGTACTATAAATATGACACTGGCAAAAACCAGTTATCAATGGTGCCATTATACTTCAAAACATTTCTAACAAATATCTTGTCCATTAATTTAATTGGGAAATACAAATGCGAGCTATTATTATCGGCACGAAACGTTTTGAGACCAGAGATCTCTTATTTCTATAAGCAAGTTTCCAGTTAATTTGCAGAAAGCCAGTGCAATATGTGTTAAAGTTCGAAGAGATAAGTCGTAGAACAACTGTATGTACATGATGTTGGCACCGCCACCACAGCGAAAACCATTACAATTTGTTTGTCTTGTTTGTATCCATTTGTTCTACAATGACATTTGTACCAAAACCACTTAAAAGTTAGAGCTCTTTCAATTATTGTTGTTCCAATTTCACACTGGTACTGCCGCCATTGTAAGATTACATTCTATATCATTTGTACCAAACTGTTGCACAAGAATTTTCATTTGTACCAAAAATAATTAAGATATAGCTATTTTTAAGTGGTGGTAGGTGTCAACTGGTACAGATCCAGCTGATCATTTTGGAGGGGGCTTTCATAGATTTTTGTTAAATAATATTATATTTATATTTGTTATTATATTTATTATTTTTGTATTGTATATATACTATACAATATTATTTTTAAGCAATTACATAATTCCAACATAAATATTTAAAATAATTTTTGCCAAATAAAGGAAGGTAACAAGCGAAAACCCTAAGCCATTTGGAGATAACCATGGCCCTCGTGGCCCCCCTCTGAATCCTCCATTGGGTGCCAAATGCTAACCTGCCAGTTCCAGATTATACTATCATAATTTTTGTTTGTTCCAAAAAAATATTAAGATCATATACGACGTCAAGACAATAAATAAATTAACATTTGAAAGAAATTTGATGAAAAAACTAATTTTTTTAAGATCTGAAAACTTCACATGCCTAATTTTTTTCCCACTTGTCACTACTTTTCCCCCCGCTTAGGACAGCAAAAAATTATAATTTGTTAAAGTAAATATGTTCAAAAGTACATGAATTTTAACAAAATCACCTCAACTAACATCATCACATTTGTATGGCATTGCAATTAAAAATAACCATTTTAGCATTTAGAAAAAATTTGTAATAAATGGTTAATTCAGGGGCTTTATAATCTTATGATTGCCATTTGCATAGCAGGTACTGCGGACATATTATATGAACCGGAAAAAGTAAAATTGTTATCAGCATGTTTTTCCAATTGTAAAATTTTTAACTGTATTCTCAGAGTTTTTTAAATACATGTATTCACAATTTCGAGTCATTTTTCCAATGAAAAAAATATGAACTCTGACAACTTAAAGTTCTTGTTGACATGGATGAGTATTTTTAAGTCATTCTCAGCATTTGTTCTCATCACATGTTTAATGTGATGGGAAGGAGGCTGAAAATATTCTAACTTCGGCAAAACAATGGTCTATCTTAGTGTATATCAAGTGTAACCACGAGTTTATGGGAATTTTGATGTAACTGTGTGTTTAAAGCCTTAAGGAACGTCCTTTAAGCCCAGCGGCTGGCCTGCTGCCACCTCTGCCTCAAATTGGAATAGGCTCTATGCCCAGCCCTGTGCAGCAAAGCATTGGCTCTCCTGGGCAGACCCCTGCTGGTGTGGGTGCCCCTGTGGGTGCTACTGCTGCAGCTCGTGCTCCTCAGCCATTCCAGCAGGTCTGTTTAAGAATGTTGAGGCCCTTTCATCAGTTTATTTTAAATCCAAGCCTTAAGGAACACACAAAAAAAATTGTAGTCTTTTTGTGATGAATAATAATGCAAAATCATGAAATCTAGTTAAACAGTTGGCATGAATCCAAACCATCTTTCATAATAAATATTTAATTGTTTTGATTTGATATTTCATTGATCCTTTTAGTTATCAAGTAAAATTTTTGTCTAATATCCCTTTTCTTAGAAATTTGTAATATTTTACAGCCTTTTAAATAAATGCTCATTGTTGTAACAACAAATGCCATGAGAAAAAAATTGGTTATTCTCAAATCAGTATAAAAGTTTCAGTTAATGCAGTCAATCAGTTATTTGGCTGAAATTACTCTAAATGGTAATACATTAAATATAATGTGATAAAGCATCCTAGTGGAAGCTTTGTTCTAAAGTATTGTTTGTGCCGGGAGACCGGTCAGGAGCTTAGAGCTTGTCTCGGCTGGGGTGGTGCCCAAGTTGTGGGAGAAACCTGAATGAGGAAAACCTCAGCCGACAGTTGGTCGGTGCCTGATCTCGCCATACAGCGGGGAAAGACCACCACCTCTCAAACAAAATCATGCACTACACTTACAGGACTAATGTCCCTAGTAGTTGGTGCACTCGTAATCACTATGACTCAATCAATCAAATCAATCTAAGTCGTTTGTGGAAAGTTTGCTTGAGTTAAATTTATGATTTCAAGTATAATTTTAAAAATATCATGGATAGTGATTTTTATCAGAGTTAAAGTAGTTTTAATCAAATTTGGTTCTGATGCTCTTTGCATTTGCCACTGCACATATGAATATCTGAATGCAGTAATTGATTTTTCTTTTCTCTCTACATTTATAAGTATCAGTGCAAGTGTTTATTCATAGCATGACCATTAATAAACAGGTACCTTCTTGTTGCCCAAAGCTGTGAGCGTAAACTATTTAGACATTGTTTTATGATGTTTGTATTTAATTTGCTTTGGGCTTAGGGTTTACTTCCACAAACTCAACCACCAGCACCACAGCCGCCTCAGACCGTGCCTGGCCAACCCACAGGACCACCGCAAGCTGGCATGCCTGGAGCCAACATTGTGCGTTATCTGCCTCCGCAAGCAGCTGGCCAGCAGGCAGGAGCTGGAAGTTGTGCTCCAGGCTATCACCTACCTCCCAATCGCACAGTACGATTTTTAATTCCATTAATTTATTACAACTTTCACTTCAAATATTTAATGTTTTCTCAAAATTCTTCAAATATATTTCAAGTGCTGTGTGTAGAGGTAAAATAACTGAAATTTCTTATTAAATTAATTTTCATTTCTAATTTACTAAGAAAGTTAATAATTTCTAGAACCTCAAATTTATTTTCTTATTGAAATTTATTAATTATTCTTTTGAAAACTTTTGGGGTGATAAAATGAAAAATATATTTTTAAAATTTTGAAGTTTGCAATTTATAATAAATGACACAATTTGTTATTTGCCCCTGAACACTTGTTTTTATGAGCTTTCATTGAATGAAATAATTTACTTTAAGATTATGTATGGTTTTCTTAACTTAAAACCCTTAAAGTAAATTGTTTTTTGAATTATAAATACTTCTTTATATTGATGTACCAAGTAGTCATCTATTGTGTTTTTCTCTAATTTTGAGATTTTAGCTGGGAAATAGTTACCGAGGTTTTTCCAATTCAGTTTCTGATTCTAATTAGTTAATTTTTGTCTTGTTGATAACAAATACTAAGTAAGTCTTTGCAACATGAGGAAGAATTTGAAAAATTTGAAATGATTCTTGATTCTTTTAAAAGTTTTTCATTAATCCTCTAATCTCTTTAGTGTTTCTTTCTGTTCCTCTCATATTATAGTCTTGTTGAATTGTAGTGTGCTCTTTTTCGATGTTGTTTATTTTAGTTTACTCATCCAGAGATTATTACTATTAAGGGGACTGAGTAACTGTGGAAGGGGAAAGAAGTATTGAACATTTATTATTGCTAAGTATTACCACGACCAGTGCTACAAAGAGAAAAGTAGAAGAAAATAAGAGAAAGGGAAGAATTCTTTGGCTTCTTATGTTGTTTTTGATTAACTGCATTGATCGGCTGGATGTCTTCTTTACTCATCATTGTATTCCAATAAATGAACTGCATTGCTATCTTGAGTCATCATATTGCTTGGATGGCCAGCATACACAAGGCTAAGTTTGTTGTTAAGGATATACCAGTAAAAATGTTTTTATTGTAACAAATTATTTTCAGTGTTGCATTCAGGACATTGTAAACCATTGTTTATTATAGCTACAAGAAGTTTCTGAAGAGTACTTGTGTTATTTCTTAGAAATATAAAATAAGAAAAAAGTTCTTGTTTGTTGGTATTGACTGCTTCCAAGTTGTTGTTTAAAGGTACTTGGCCTACTGGAGTAATACACAAGTAAATACCATCCTGTTTCTTGTCTGGAATTTCTTGAAGAATGTCATTGCGTATATATATATTGCATATTGTGAAATGTGCTTGAGTACATCAGTCAATTTCTTCTTGCACACCAGAGTTCGTTCATTTCCCCTTAAAAATAATTGATAACATATAATGTTATAATTTTTTTATAAAATAGTTACCAAGAATGTAAAATTTTATAAATATTTCAAACATAAAGAGTAAACTTTTTGATCTAAAAGATAGGTCTCTAAATTAACATTAGAATCTAGAGGTTTAAATTAATTAAGATTACAACTCTATTACATATCTGTTGAAATTGTTCTTAAACTTTAACCAACTTCTCTTCCTCCCCCCTCCTCCCATCCTTTCCTCCAATTGTTTCATAAATTTGATCAAACAAGGCCATATATTGAAAATATTTGTTAGATTGCTGTGGAACTTGCTGCACAATTTGAAAGCCTTCTTCTGAATGCATACGATTCAGCAGAAATATTATTACATTTTGATTAACAGACAATATTTTTCTTGGGTAAACTGTTTTCTGCCAATCAAAAAATATTGATGACAGGAATACTCATGGTCTTTAATTCTAAATGCCATTATGAGGGACAGCCAACCTGCATGTATCTCCATCAGCTAGGCTGCACTGTTTTTGTTAGTTATTTCCCCTGGGATCTCAGATTCATTAAATTCTCATGGAAATAGCAAGGTTGTCCAACCACATTTCTATAGCTTCTGCTAAATTAGTTGAGTCCACTTGCATCTTGTTGAGTATGTGTCCAATTTCAGATGAATGTCTGTAAAGGCTTGTAGTTTCTCTGTAACTGGATACATTTTGCACATTTCATGATCTATTTACAGCAACTTCATCATTTTTTATAAGTAATTCCACATTTTTACTGTATTTCTCAGTAAATGTTCTTAAGCATTCTTTTTAAGAATTAAACTTGTATCATTTGGAATTTGAGGCATACAACCTTCCTTTTCTTTAAACCATTCTTGTGGTTGATGGTGATTTTGGATGTACTTTTGAACTTTCACAATGTGTTTTGTTAATGTGGTTGGTATGGCTTCCTCTAGTAGCAAATTGTTATAATACGTTAGCAAATCTAATAAATCAATCTTTAGTTAGTTATTTATTAATGTAAAGATCTGTTACAATTATTTTTCTACAAATAAATGCAATTACATTAATTAACCGCAAATAAATGCAGTGGGTCGGATTATTTTTAAAAATTCGATGTTTTTGCCAACCTGTTCCAGACTAATGCAAAAATAAAGAATAAAAAAACCTATTTACCTGCATTCATTGACTTGACAAGTATTGAATTTTGAGTTCCATGTCAATGTTGTGTTGTAGGTTCCTGCCGGTCGCTGGCCTCCTGCCTCCATGCCTCCCCCTCAGCAAGTACGCCCCCCTTACATGCCTGCTCAGCAACAGCAACCTGCACCTCCTCAGCAACAGCAGCAGCAGCCCCCACAGCCTCAACAGGCCCCTCAGACCACAGGCGCTGCTGGAACTTCTGCTCTCATTGCCCAGTTGACTCAGCCGCCACCAAATCTTGGACCTGCTGGCCAAACTCCTCTTGGTGCTCCCTTTGGTGAGTTCTTCATTTTTGCAGTTATTTTGATTGGCACAAAAGAATTAAATTGGAAGTGTTCCTTTTAGCAGCTTATCACCACATCCAGAAACTTCCAGTACTTGGTGGAGATTTTTTCATTTAAATCTCTTGTCTGACCCTGTGGATGGGAGTGGGACAAGATAGAGAGGGGAGGACCATATGTGTTTATCTGTTGTTGAACAAATGCGGAGAAATTTCTAGCTCCAAAAGGATTATATTCCAAGTTCCTTGTTAGAAGAACTGTATGCATGTTTCCTTTTCTGGATGGAGCAAGGTTACATCAAATGAAATATCTAATTACCAGCATGTTTACGTTCTTAAAAAAATTGGTGTATATTTTTCTAAAAGCACATTCATTTCTTTGTTTGGCAGATATTTTAGTGGAGTGTATTCTGACAAAATCTTTGAGACAAATTGGGAGTTTTTGGGAAACTTTTATATAAGCATTTTTGTAGACTTGTAGAATTGGATTCACTTAAACCCACTGCTATTAACTTCTGCTTTGTAATTTATTTTTAAAAATTTTTTATCTACAACTTGTAATAATATTGTGGATTAGAGAGAAATTTCTTTTGCATTTTCCACATTCAAACTTGTTTGTTGTTTAAGGAGGGAGAACCTCACAACTGCTTGAAATATTGATAACCATGAATTTTGAACTTATCACAAATTTAGAGAATTTTCCAAACAACTTCACCACTCTGTTCTGCTTAATCAACTTGTTCATAGCACTTTGCTCTTGCACCTATAGATTATGACTCATTTGGCTTTGTTAAAATAGTCAATTGTAATATGTTTGTTTTGAGGGAATGTGTTTCAATGTTATTGAAAGTCTGAGAATTTTCAATCATCATAAATCTATGAATAGAAAGAGATTTAGTCAACATTATTAGTACTTGTCAACCAATTAATGATTTTGATGAGAAAATTATTTTTCTAAAATCAGTATCAACCTGTAATGATGAAAACAAGTGAATTGTTAACAATATTTCTACATTATCTGCAAGTACTCTTATCTACATATAAAAAAAAGTGTTTGTAAGCTAATCAGCAACAAACTGAAAAGCGTAATCTACATTTTGCAAGCTAAAACATTGCATTGGTTATAAAAATTATGAAAATATTTCAGTATTTTAGTGTACGACGTAAATGCGTGTAAATAAAAAAACACCATATTTCTTAATTTTCTACAGTCTTCGCAAACTTTCGAAGTTCAACAGCAAAATATGTCTGACCACATGGTTCATGAAAGTTTCCTGTTATGAAAAACGACCTTTCATTTTATAAGAATTTTGTCGTAGTATTAGAGATTAACACTGTAAGACATATCAATAAAATGATGAATCATAAATCAGGAATTAGAATAAATGAAGTGTCAATATGTCTGTCAACATCTTTCTGTGATCTGATTTCTTGGAATTATTCTAAGAGTTGTCAAAATTACAATATAAGTGTGAAAGTGAATCTATGTTTGTTATTTTTTTCCAAATTGGTAGTCAAATCAATGAGAGAGATAAAGCCACAAATAAGAGACAAAATTTTTTATGTATTACAGATTACTTTTGTAGACGCTTAAAGTCTTTAAGTATCTGTACTGACAGGTTAAAGAGGACTAATAAATAAACGTTCTCAGAATTTAGTATGTTGCCGTCAAGATATTCATTACAATTAAAGATAATTTTGGTTTATGTTAATATTGAAAATTTTAAAAAAGTCAGTGATATTTGGTTGCTTTTTATCTTTTATTTTTTAATTGTTCTTTACCCCTCTTCTATAATTTGTGCATGGTGTTGGGCATCTTTTGTGCTGCAGGCAATGTGGGCATGATGACGCAGCAGCAACAACAACAGCAGCAGCAAGTCATGAACCAACAGCAAGCCATGAACCAGCCACAGCGTCTAATACCTGGGCTCATGGCGCAGGGCCAAGCAGGTGGAGCCATGGGCATGGCAGCTCCAAATGTGATGGTTGGCCCAGCCCCTGGACAAACACCTGTTAGTTCTGGAGGCCCTGGTCAACAAAATGCTGGTGGTGTGGTCACTTCAGGTGCTCAACCTGGTCAGCAGGGACCTGGTGTTCCACAGCCACAAGCCCAGAATGCCCAGAACCAGCAAAATCCACAACAGCAGCAGCAACAGCAACAACAGCAACAGCAGCAGCAAACTCCACAACAGCAACAGCAGCAGCAGGCTCAACAGAATCAACCTACTGGTCAAAGTGGGCCTGCAGCTGCTAACCAGCAGGTGAGAATTTTTCAGCAAGGATATTTTTGGTGAAAGTTTGTATGAATTTCATTCTTATAGATTGCATCCATATTTTATACACACAAGTCATGATTTCAATAAAGTAATTAATTTACATGAAATGTATCGATTGCAAATGTTTTATGTAGGTGATTGTTTTAAAGTGTTTAAAATTGAATTTTTGAGTTGTGACTGAGATTTTATTACTTACAAAAAGTGCAATAAAATGTATTTCTGTGTTTTGGAACACAGCCAGGAGCTGCAAACCAACAGCAGCAGCCTGCAGTACGAGAGCGGCATACCATTTGGCAAGGTGTATTGGAATGGATTGAAAAAGCTAAGAATCCAAATGATCCTCAGAAGTTGACTCGACATGTACCTTGTCATGTATCTGCAAATTCCAAAGATGGGGAGCCAGATTTGTAAGTTTTAAACTGAAAAGTAGGTGAATGTAATTGTTGAATCATAGGGTACCATTGCAGGCATTTCAAAATGTGTCAACTGCATTACAGGAAAGCAGATTCTTGGCCTCAGAAGTTAATCATGCAGTTAATGCCAAAGCAACTAATAGGTAACATTGGAGGTGCTTACTTGAAGAATTCTAAATCGGTTCTCTTTCACCCTCAAAACTGTGAAGCTCTTGACTCGCTCACAAAAGTGATGAGCTCTGGATTTGTAAGTTTTGTTCATATTTTGCCCTGCTTTACGTAATGCCTTCATAATGAATAAATATTCTAAGAAGTGAGGTGTATTTTTATACATTAGCAATTTGTATTAGCAATTTTATTGTTACAGGTATGTGGAATAAACTATCAGTATCTGTTTACAACTTCATTATTGAAGATGTGTGAACATGTAGCTACCATTTAGAGTTTTAAATTCTTCTTTTTCTTTTTTCTTCTTTTTTTCTCTTTTCTTCCTCTTTCTTTCTTTTCTTCTTATTTTTTTCTTTTCTTCTTTTTTTCTTTTCTTATTCTTTTTTCTTTTCTTCTTCTTTTTTCTTTTCCTTCTTTTTTCTTTTCTTCTTCTTAATACAATGCATGTTTCCATTTTACTTTGTTCAATCATTCATTTTGAGTTTTCTTTCTTCTTCATTCAATTTTGACATTCCAAAGAAACAAAAGAGACTTTTGAAAATAGATTTTTGGCTGTCCAGGTGATGCTATGTCATAGATCTGAAATGGTATTTGCTCTGAGGAAGGCAGCAGTATGGCAACCAAAATGTTGCCAACTCTGCCAAGGGCATGGCTTTTTCTGGATAGCCAAGAATCTATTGACTCAAACTGTAGTAGCGTATGTTCATTTTAATAGTTCAATATGTTTCTGTTGATGTCTAAACCCAGATCTTCATCTATTCATTTTATGATCTTTCGTTGTTCACTGTATTGGTACATTTCCTTTTGTGATTTCTTGTAAACTTAATTTTTATTTTTTTAAATTTTGTTGTTGTGATTTATGCTTTCTATAATTAACAATAATTCTATGTTGTTTCTCCTGAAGGGTAATTCATTATTGTGGTTTGAGTCATGAAATGTAAGCTTCAAGGTTATTTGGCTCCCTGCTTCCCACACCCCCTTTCACCTTTTTACCCTGTGGCATTGCCATGGGAGAAGTTTGCAAGACAGTAGTTGCTCCCTGTGAGAGGAGAATCACATGTTGGCACTATCATCCTTCAGTGAAAGGTTAAGTTGTGAGGAGTCACTGGAAGTGGCACAGATGTGTATTAGGATACTAACTTAATATTGTCTCCTTATTGCTTTGAGATCAAACTGTTTAAAGCACACTGTTGTGCAAAGAAAAGTAAAAGCAATAGTTAGCATTAATGCACTTGCTTTGTGTGCATGCTTGAGGATTACAACATGGTGACTCAAACTGCAGTAACAATAGTACTTTTGTACTTGCCTCTTTGCATTATGAATAATTGCAAATATCATTATCAGTAGGAGGTGGATTTTGATGACCTGAAACATTGCCAAAAATGATCAATAAAATGCTTTTAAAATGCCCAAAAACAAAAAAAAAATTATGTTAAAGCACTTCAAATTACTAACTCAAGCTGTTGGATATGTTACTGATGTAATTGAGGCTTCTTACTTTTGTTCAAGCAAACTCAGCTTGCAAACTATGTGTTTGGATTGTTTTTTAAAGCAAAATCTCTGCCTTTATTTATCATGAAGTCAGCCAAAGTCACAGGAACCTTAGATTGTGTAGTACTCACAGTGGCTGACATTGCAATATATGAGCGAAGAAATCTAATAGGCTACTCAAGAATGTGGTGAACATTTGTTGCACCATGTAAATATTGTTTGAAGCAAGTACCATTAAAATATTAAAATCAATGAAATCAGCAAAAACTGCAGTAAAAATTATGTAAAAGGGTAAAAAATGACTTATTATTCAAAATCGAGAAAAAATGCAAAAAGAGAATAACATATATAAATGGGTCATTTTGTTTCGTCATAACATAAAATGAATTCTTATACTAAACAGCATTGTTATAAAGTGAGAAGAATAAAAATGACATTTCATTAAAATTCACCCCCTAATTATCAATAATAGGATAATGAAAAACCTTTGTTTGAATTAATTTCAGGCTGGTTGTGTCCATTTTACCAGTGTACCATCTCCTTCATCCTGTAATATTAAAGTATTGATACTATTGTATACAATTGAGAAGCGTGCATATCTTGGTTTCATCCCCAATGATCAGACGGCATTTGTGGATCGCTTACGCAAAGTCATTCAACATCAAAAGAATGCTCAGGAAATGATTCGACAACAGGGTCAGGTATGTAAAATAATTTCTAAAATCTGGAATTCTCATCATCGCTGAATCCGTAATTTTTGGAACTGATTGTAGTGAAATTTACTACTACCTACAATTTTTTAATGCAAGTCACTAAAAACAATTTTTCTTATCTGAAAAGACTTGCTTCTCTCACAATTCAGTTGTGTAACCAGTTGGCAGAGTGTGGAAAAATCTTAATGATTTATTGTGATAACTAAATTCTTAGTCAGTTCCTGAATTAAATGTTTTAAGACTGCTGTTCCAAGTCTCTCTCTGTTATTCAACAGATAAATTGTGGAGTTGTGAACGTGTCGAATTAGATACCTGGTAAATGTACAACCTTCTGTGTGCAGGCTGGAGTGGGGCCTCAGCAGGGCCAGCTGGGAGCTCCTGGAGGTGGGCAAGCTGGAGGTCAGGGTGGGAACCAGGGTCCTCCACCAGGAGGCATCCTCCTGTCACAAACCAACCAGTTGGCCCTGGGAGGTGGCCAACTCACTCAGAACAACCCCCAGGGCCTGGGTGGGGGTGGTGTGGGTGGCATGGGCCCAGGGCCTGTCACCAGCCAGGCCTCACCGGTTCCTATGCAAGGACTACAGGTAAGAAAACAAAACAGTCAGGATTTTTGACCAGTGATATTTAATAAAAAATAAAAACTCAACAACAGTTCAATGTTTTCAATAACTTAGGATTGACATATTCTTTCATGAAAAGATAAAAACTGCATAAAAAGATTTGATATGGAGTTTTATATATTTTACAATTATGAGTGAGGATGTGGAGATTGGGCAGATCCAGCTAATCATTGGGGGACAGGGACAGCATAAATTAAAAAAAAAATTACTTGACCATTTTGGGGGGGTGCATGACTCCTGCGCCTCCGCCTCCGTCTCTGCCGCGTCTGCCGCCCCCTCTTCCACCTCTTCCACCTCCGCCTCCTCCCCCCCTCCCCCCATTCACCCACAGCTGCTATTTGCTTTATTAAGAATTAATTTAGATTAGTTTTGAAATATTACTTCTATAAATTCCATTGCACCATTGTAGTTGAATCGACATAATTGGATAGAAATGTTAGTTCTAGACCTTTACTGACTTCTGGAAGGAGTTTGAGCTATTATGATGTTGTTACTATACATATTTAGATTATTGCCGATCCGGTGGCCAAAGATCGCTAAGGCAGTAGTGCGTAGCGCTACGTATGAAAGATCGCGCGAGTTTGAATCAGCCTCGGCCAATGGTTGTATTGTGTTCGGTCCTTTCAACCTATCATTCCATTCATCCTCCATCTCTCATTATCACCTTTCTGAATAACATTCAGAATTTGTAACTCGAGGATTACCTCACCTCAAAGGTTGATACCTTCGACAGTCGACCATGAACAGTAAAAAGTGAAGTGGCAACGCTCAAGTTGGTCCGATGTGGCGCAATCAAGTTAATAATAATTTAGGTTATGTGCTCTGCCTTCTAATCAGTTTTAATTATTTGTGGCTTGTAGTGAACTAGTCCTGATTTCATTTTCATTGTTACCATTTCCTTTTGAAGTCTTCTTAGCTCTTCTTGCTTATAATTCTAAAATTAGAATGAGGAATTTGTTAATGTTTTTGCATTCTTTGAACATTGCCCAAAATGATTCCTTACAGGTATTTTATACATTTTCATGAGACTTTAAAAATACCTATATTTTAAAACAATGATACAGCTTTTGTCCTGTTGAATTGGCATGTTAATCAGTCCATTAAGGTGATTCCGCAAGTGTGAAAATTGGTGTACTGAACAGAATGTAACTAAAAATTGATCTAATTACAATAATAATTGTATGTTAGACATTAGATACAAATTTAAGAGGCTGGAATCTACCTCCTTTTCAATAATTTTTGGTAGAAATATTGTTATGCTTTCTGAAGAGAGTTGGAAATTTATCCCATAGAGATGGCTGTCCTCTTTGAGAGTCCAGGAAGTCCTGGGAATATGATAAAAGGGGAGGGGGGTCTTCAGGAGCTCATGATTCTAGAGGTCTTTATGAGATTTGCATCTGAAATTGTATTAAAAGATGATCATGTCATTTTACTGTTCTCTCTTTCTTTTATATTAACCATTTTTTAATAGCTTATGCTTGTTTTTCATGTTATTCCATTAAATTAATTTGCAGATCTAACTACTATTAAAAATTTCAAAGCAGTTTCCATCTGATGCTCTCATTTGCAATTACTAATTAAATTGTGTTCACAAATTACTAATATGGAATTCAAAAACTTTATTAATAGAATTTTTTTAAAAATTGAAACAGAGTTTTTCATGAATTATTTCACTCATGAACTCTCCAGCAATGAGATTGAAGAATTCCATACTTCTCAGCTAATCAGAAAATTTAACACTTGCTACTTTACTACATTCCCTTTATTGCCATGATGTACCCTTGTTTATCGCACAATGTGGCTAAATAAAATAAGGCTTAAAAGTGGGGAATTTTATTCTAATATTAATTACTAAAATGATAATATCAAATTTGTTACTAACTATACATTTAATTTCAATGGTGAAGTAATCCTCTCAAATGCCATTTGTGCTTTGGAAATTACAGATTAATTCCAAAGCACTTGATATCATCTTTGATAATTCTGTATTTACTAGAGTACAAGACAAGAGTTTTTCCGAAATATCTCAATTAAATAATGTCGTGCCCTCTTATATCCTTGTTTCATTTTAAGTTTTTAATTTGGCATTCCATGTCATGAAACTCATTAATGTTGTCCTAACAATAAACAGTGAAGACTGTTAAAATGTGTATACAATCCGTAATTATATTCATTATCATGTTGTTGGCAACCACTGCGAATTTACTGAGCAGTTCAGGCTGATATTTTTTAATAGGCCGGTAAATAGAGAATTTGAATCAATGGCATTAAATCAAATGAAACTTAATGAAATTAGGGTGTTGTCTTATATTCAGAGTCAACTTATATTCGGGTAAATATGGTATTTGTTTGTGTTCACTAGACCTTATGTTAATTTTATTTACTTTTTGATTCGTTCTTACTTTATGGTTTAAATTGTAAAGAAATTTTTTGTGTGTAAGAAAATAAAGAAATTTATTTAATTCTTACATATCCCCAAATGTATGACTTTGAGAACTAGAAATGTTTTTGTGTAGGGTTCGCATGGTCCAGGAGGGCAGCAACAACAGCAGCAGCAACAGCAGCAACAACAGCAACAACAACAACAGCAGCAACAGCAAGCTCAGGGGCAAGCTCCAGGCCTAAGAGGTCTGCAGGGTCTGCAACCTGGGCCCCAAGGCCCTGCCCAGCCTGGGCAACGTCCTCCATATGATCATCTGGAGGCAGCTCGCCAGCAAAACCTTGCTAAAATCCAGCAGCTGCGACAGACCCTTGAAGCTGCTCAGCAGCAGGAACTGCAGTACAAGTCTCAATTGGAGGTACAAAATTGCTTGTGCATCAATCTCCAGTCCAGCCATTTAATGTGGACAGAGATGAGATAGTTTTCATTGTACACTCTCATTCCTCTTGCCTCTTGTTCTGTCATCTTGCTTCCTATTTATGCTAATCATTTGTAATTTTTTTGTTTTTTAATTGCCTATCCTGCCTGTAGAAGCACATTCAATTAATTGAAGTACCTCAAAGGTTTAGAGGTAGAACTTCTAACTTTCTAATTCTATTTGTTCAGACTGTATTTTCTTCCTTCTCCTTGCTAAATGTTTTAAGGAAAAAAATAAGAGAGCTTTTCAGATCCCAAGGGTGTAGCTAAACAGGGATCACAAATATCTATGCAAAATATTAACAAAAAGTAAATATTCACAAAGATGTTTATTGGGGGTGTTAAGGCTGCCTACAAACCATATGCACACCTTCTTTTATTGATTTTATAGTAAATATGTTTGTTTCAGACGTGTGTATAATATACAACATGTAAAAATATAAGTCTTACTGAAGGTTTTAACAAATAATAAATCTTACAGTATTGTCAGGTAAAATATTTTTGTAACAATTCACTAATGTCTGGTTATACATTTTTGTAAGAACATAGTCTTTGTTTTACTCTGTAATTAGCAATAATTTTTTTTGCTACAGAGTAGTGAGAAATTTTATTGTTTAATTTTACAATGCAGATCTCGTTGCTATTTGCTTTTATTTTTACTGTATATTGGTGTTTAAAATAGTATATGTTAAGGTTTGAGTTGAAAGTTTTGCTTATTCTAATATCAACAAAAGGTAATAAAAAATTTTAAAATCTGAGTATAAAGTCACTAAAACTTAATAAAAATAATAATAACAAAAATAATAATAAATATAAAAATAATAATAACAAAAATAATAATAAATATAATAATAATAATAATAATAATAATAATAAAAATAAAAACAATAATAATAACAATAATAATGTTATAATTATTATATTATTATTGTTAATATTACTTGTGATACAAGATTCAAACAATGTCAATCAGGCCTTAGATTAAGGTAATTACATTTAATACATACAGTTATATTGTATGAATATGTATTCGGACATGCAAATATAGAGTATTATTATGTTTACATATTGATGTTACTCATTGCACAGTTAAGTTTTTAAATTTAAATTCTAGAACAGATAACACAGCAATAACATATATTTATATTACAAACAGAACTTTAAATCATAAGTATTTCTGAGATTATATGTTAAAGTATAAAATTATTGACAATACTAATTATATTTGTGTGATTGTGCAAATTTCAAATGTGCATTAATGTTGTAAATAATAATTGAATGTTATTGTTTATAACTTTGTTTGACAAGCATCAAACAGTAATAGTAACAATATTCCTCATTTTATTTCACTTAATTTATATGGGCAAATCTGAAAGATGTATTTTGTTAATCATTTTTTGAAATGGTCTTTATTTGTTTTAATATTTATAGGTAATTTTTCCAAAGAGGACTAAAATAGGCATGCTTTTCATTAAGGAAAAAATCTATTTTCAATATTGTAGTTGTAGGAAGATACTGATAGAATTTTGAATTTTTGCCATTTTCAAAAATTCAGAGAATTTAATGAAAAAAGACCTTGGCTGTTTTTATCAGCATAACTTTGCTCTTTCCTAAAAAAAGGAAATAAAACCAAAAAAATTGGTGCAAGTTTTTGTTTTCAAAATTTTGAGGCTTTATGTAAAGTATCCCCAAAGTGAAAGATTGCGTTTCAAATTCAGGGGGCCATGACATCAGCCAAATCGATCAGGAATTGTTAATTATGGTAAAAATAATGTCTGTGGTTTAGCTAGTAGCATTGTTCATGGACAGATGGGTAGAAATATGTTCACGTTTTGTCATAAACCAAAATTTTAGTATCAAGACCTCACAGATTGTGGGTTCTGACTACACAATTTGATAGAGGAAGTTGTTTATAACCTATAGGAACAAGAATTATCCAAATTTTATTAAGATTACAGACAGAATTATTTAAGAGTAATCACATTATTTTTTAACAATTCACTTCACCTGTAAATATCTAGGAACTTCTTTATTTGTTTCACGCTTAATATTAATCAATTTGGAAAGATATGTATGCCTGAAAATTCATAAATGACCTTTCTAATATCTCCCTAGTCTTTTGCCTGACACTTTGGTCTTCCTTTGTAATAAACCTTGTTTCGAAGGTATTAAGTAGACGCTAATTATTTTTCTATTAGTGCATTTGCTTCAAAATGCAGTAATTATCTTTTCATTAGTTCATTTTTCATACAAATCTTCAGTTTGCAGGAATGCTGTTATAGTTTTACTAATCAACTTTCCACCAGTCTTCTAATTTTTCTTCCTGAATCTTTCCTAAACCCAATTTAGATTTTTTATTTAATTTTCTAATGTTGTGTTTTTTGATAAATTTCAATTCATCAATGAAATTAATATTAGTTATTTAATATCTATTTGCCTTTGCTATTTGTATTGATCTATTTGAAAGATGAATGAATGAAGTTCTTGAATATTTGCAAGATTGCTCATTGATAAAGGTATTAATACAGGGAAGATTGCTCATTAATACAGGTATAATATTACATGAATTGTTTTGTTATTGATTTTAATTGGTCATGGAAAAAGAAGCGAGAAATAATATGTGGCTGAAAGGCTGACATGACAAGGTTGAACGGATGTGAAGTAGATTGATAAGAATATCCAGACAATGGTCCCTTTGAATCTTAGTACTAATGCAAAAGTAAATTAACTTTCTTTCTTCAAGTTGTTGTTACACTTTCTTTCAAGTTCTTTTCCAATACTTGTTTAGCTGTTACTTGTCTTCTCTATTTTTTATAAAAATAAGTGCATGATGTAAGTTAACAATGTGTGAATTTTTTCCATTATATTTCTGTTATTATTTTTCATATGGAAAACTGTGTTATGTGTGAAAGCAACACCAATTTCACTGTTTTGAGAATTCCCTGGTAGTATAAACATGCATGTTACTTTTGCGCATGGTGGTAGTACATGACCTCTGTGAATAAGCTGACAACTCGTGAAACCTTAGTACAGAAGAGCAACATAATTGCCTTCCAAGGATTATTTGAGCTAACCTTGTGAAGTAAATAAATGGATAAGTCAACATTGTTGGTAAATATCATAACCCACCATTGTCAAAGTGTGAATAATCAGAAAACTTAACAATATCTTCGTTAAAGTTTATGATTTTATGAAATTTACTCAAACATTTCTTACTCACTAACAGATAAAAATATCTTATCTGATTATATGAAATGTAGAGAAAGATTAGCAGAATCTGGCAGTATAAGGAGTTATTTTATTTTCACCAAAAAGCTGACTTACCAGCTTATTTACTAGTGTCTAAGATATATAACCCACTGATAGCATTTCTTTACTATTCTGTATTATCTACTTCTGTTGATTCTTGCATTCACGTGTAAGAAAGTATTGAACAAGAACTATGCCTAATGTAGGGCTGTATTTTTCTCTGTATAACTAGTCGTGCTTTGGTGTGTAGAAGAAACATTTGCCTGTTGCAGATTATTAGTCACATGAAAATCCAGCAGCTTCAAGCCAATTTGGAAGTGGCCCAACAACAAGAGATGCAGTACAAGGCCCAAATGGAGGTACATGCATTGCCTCTCATTGAGTGCTGTAGCACTTTCATTACAAATGCATTGGTCCACATTTTATGAAAAACTTGTCTTAGCAAATGGGCTTTAGGATGGGCTTGACATCATGGCTTTGGAGGAGAAGTAAGAGAGAATAGTTGTATAAAAAAGAGGGAAGATATGGATAAGAAACTCCTTTGAAGAAGAAAGGTGGAGGGGGGGCATTCTAGCGATCTGCTGGTTTTGTGTAGAGTGCTGCGTTCACTTGTTCTTGAATTAGCATGAGCTGAATACGTATAGTACCAATCGTGCAATTCATTCGCTGTTTCTCCTCGCTAGTATGTGCTTAATGTGCTTCTACTTGTGTGAGAACATTTCGTTGAGTTTTGAAGATGCTGATATTTAATTTGTCACAGCTGTTGCAATTATTTCCTCAGAACAGAATTCTGAGAACTGGGGTCACACAAACAATATTGAATCCAGCTGGCGTCTCCTTCACAGAAGACTGGCCCGAGAGGGAGTTTGCCACGAGGACCTGGCTATGCTCTTGGCTACTTATGGTGCCAAGATCCATTCTCGACTATGGTGCAAGACTTAAGAGAAATTAATTTATGAATTGCATCCCGTTTCTGCAATAAATTTGCTTCAATCTATCTTGTAATAACTTAGTTTATTAGATGACGTCTTAGGCTTCCGTGGTTAGTCATGATTTGAGCTGACCGGATGACCCGGCTCTACCCGGACACCAGGTCACAACTTTGTTTATTTCATGCATGTCCAATCCTATGATATCTCTTTCTCTCTTGTTTCTGTTAGGTTGGTAGTGCTAAGTGGAGGGGGTGTCTGAAAACTAGTGACTGTCGTGTATCACTCATAACCAGAAGATCGCTAGAACCTCCAAATTTTGATCTCATTTTATGCTCTCAATATTTATCTTATTTTATTGAACCATAAAACAGGTGCAGTTATCACTAAAATTCCACAAAGGAGGTAATACAGGAAATGTGCTTCTCTGTCAGTGTTTTTATTTGTATTTGTGTTGCATGGAAAAGCCTCAGATACTTCTGCTCCAAACGACTGATACCATTTGCATTTTACTTTGCGTTTTCTGTAAATAGTGAGTATTATTTGTTGTTGTGAAATCTGACTGATGGTGTTAGTTCATTTATATTAACTTGAAGTTTCACACTTATGTTCTCTTATTTGTTTGGTTTCTGTCCCTCCATTTTCTAACCAGTGTTGCTGTGATAATTTGTGTAAATCACTGCATGAAAAATTTGTTTTTTACTTGATTTTCTTTGAATAACTCCAGAAACTTACACATGAGGAAAAAACAAACAATTCAACTTACCATAAATATCATTCACAAGTAGTTCTGTGAACTTCATTTGTACACCGAAGATAATGGATTTAATCCCAAGATCCCATTGCTTTAAAATAATAAATGAATGAGAAAAACCCTTCAGAGAGTCCAAAAACGTGTTCCACACTGTAGTTTTATACTGCAACCATATTATTATATCAGTACAGTGTCATCTTGTCTGTTGAATTCAGCCATTGTGAACAATCCTCTCATTCTGCTTTCAAATTAAAAATGAGTCAGTGTTTGAATGAAACAAAATATTTCAATTTTAATTTCTACTGCATAGATGAATTAAGTCTAGACGTCTATCTGTTAAGTTGATTAAGTTGTAAGTAATTGATTAAGTTGCATCAGAAATTTTGTGCTATGGTCAGTCAATGCTTTAAGTACAGATTACTTCTTAAAATAACAAAGAATAGCAACAGCACATACATTTTGAATTATTGGTAATGTTTATGTAATATTATAATAGTGTATTGTATTCTTCTACTTCTTCAGATGTATGTGTTATAGAGAATTTTGGGATGATATTCAGTACATTTTTGCCCTCTTTACATACACAAATTATTTACCTTTATGCAATTTGATATTGTTACTCTTTCATGAAAGTGCGACGTTATCTTTAAGAGTATATCATTTACTGATCATGATAGCTCCAGGGTACTTAGCAGAGATATTTATTTTCAGCAAGAACAGCAGCAGAAGCAGCTGCGTCACTTGCAGCAGCAACTAACTCAACGACCACAGCAACAGTTGGGCCCGCAACCTGGACAAGCCGGTGGCCAACAGCCACCTCAGACGGGCACGCCCTCGCAGCAACAGCAGCAGCAACAACAACAGCAACAACAGCAGCAGCAACAGCAACGAATGATGCGGCCCAGCCTACCTAATAACAACCCTGGCTTGAGACATCTTCTCCAACAGGTAGGTGTCGTTGTGCTCCCTAACACCATCACTGTTCTTAATCTCTCTGATGGTACATGTCGCATGATCAAAAAGAAGAAAGGTAATAGCTGAACTGCAGCTTTTATTTCTGGCATCTGCTTTTGCTGCTTACTTGCTTCTGTTTTGGCTTCTCTAACCACTCTTGTTTTTGTTTTGGTGCTCTTAAAATTGCGAGCTAATGTTTCTACTATTTTAATGTAAAGCAATAGCCAATATTCATACACTACGGTAGCCATAGCATGTAATGATATATTTTGTATAGATTGATATTTCTTATAGATAAAATCATATTTATTTTATGTTGAAACTTTTGTTAATTTTGTGCTTTGTTAGAAGATAAAGGAATTTGTGAGTAAAAATTGTGATTAATCTAAAATGTTCTGATAGCATATATGAACAAAGCATGTTAATAGTAAAAAATGTGATAATTATTATTTCTTATGTATGTATAATTCATGAAATGAATGTTTTTCCAGTACAAGCCTTACATTCACCCAATATTTGTCAGAATTTAATGATTCAACTTGAAATTAGATTGGCTCTAAAATAGAATTTGCAAAACAACTGTTTAAAGAATTTTCCTTCTTTGATATTTGCATGACTATTGTTTGACTTGCGTCATCTGCCTTGTGCATGCCTAAAACAATTTGTTTGCATAATTTTGTCTGTTTTATGTTTGAGCAGTGGTGTTCAAAAATTTACGCTTGTGTTCTTACTGCTACTTACGGTTGTATTGATTTAAATAGTTCTGTTAATGAAAAATTCTGAAAAGTCTAACGATTCTCATTCCCATTACTAGTTGCTGTACTGTTTTGATGAATAAAAGGTATTGGAGGAATTTTTTTTCTTTCTTTCTCATGTGCATGTTGCTCTTTGCTTGTTTCATATAACCTGTCTCTTTCCCTTCCGGTTTTCCACTTGAAATTTGTTTTCCTTTTTACTACTTTTTAATTTGCTTGTGACTTATGCTTTTGGGTATGCTGCAATTCACGGAACATTGATTATCCAAAATAAATCATGTTTAGAATTTTTTTCTGAAAAATACCTCAGAGGTACTGTAGTTAAGTCCTAAAAGGATTCATGAACTTAAAAATGAAACCTGATCTTTGTGTTTTCTTTCTCCTCGCTTGTTACATAAGCATTTTTGCTGGACTAATTTTTGTGCTTTTAAAGCAATGCAAATGATTTGTCACATTTTGGTGTGATGCGTAAATTCTGCTTATGATGCTCTCAGTTTCTTCTAATCTACTTGGTGTTTTCATTAAATATGTGCATTGTTAGCCAGTTTTACCTGATGCAAAGATGCAAAGGACACGGTAGTGTTACATTGTTAAAAATATTGATTTATCAAATCAAAATTTTTTCAATGACCTTGTTAGATTAAAAACATAATTCCATCCAGAGTATTTTGCTTATGTTCTATACATTGAAATCTTTATTTCTAAAATATTAAATTTAGGTCATAATGTAAATCCGCAATATTTTAACGATGTTATTCAGGAAAAAAAAATTAGCTTCTCAATAATTCATTCATGTGAAAACATCTGAAATGAATAATTTTGTCAACTATCATTCTCACGACGTTTTCTTATTGCCAGTTGTGTACCTATTATGGGGGAGAGATCAGTAATGGACTTGTGTGGTATTTCTCAGCTATCTTTGGTTGGGAAACGAGACACTGTTTCATCACGCATATTTAAAAGCGCCCTAAATTTTTTATTTAATTTTTTCTTTCTGCTGGAGGGATGCTTAACAAAACACATCGCATATTGTTTGGCAAACTTCCTATATTTTTGAAAATTGCAAATAAAAATTTAATATTCTAAAACTTTCAATAATACAGATTTTTTTCCTTCATTAAATCTGTTCTTTTCAAATATATCTTGAAATAATATCAATGTAAATGAATTTTTGAAAGTTGCATATGCACATGTTCGACTTTTTTAAGCTGAAAGGGTGGAACAGGATGATGGAAATGTGGAGTTTAGCTATGAAGAAGGTGGTGTAGGGGTAGCGTGATTGGCTTATTAACTCTTTAAGGATCTGAGAACAATTTCCTGTGCAGACACACAATTTTTGGTGCCTGAAAACGCTTTTGCAAGTTCATGTATTATAATATTGCGTACTCGTTACAAATAATGCAAAAAAATATATGCTGTTGTAGCACCACTAGTTTTGGAGACCGGTAGATAGAAGGGGAGGGGACAAAGAAAGAAAAGAATAAGAGGCATTTTTATACATTTTTAATGTGTGATTTTATTTGTTTCGTATATACTCTTTATAGTTTTCGAAACGAGCTCCAAAAAACTTTCATGCATGGAAACTCCACATTTATCTTCTGTTTATTGATTGAAAGCGTTTCTCTGCGGTACTCTGGCCAAGTCTATTTTGCTTTGCGCGTTGCCTTGCGAGAATTGGCCATATAAAACAGTTGGGTAGTGCAAAGTAAACAAAATATGGGAGTGACATGAATCATCGTGACACCCCTCCCCCCCCTCGCGTATTGAACGTATATTCGTAGAGTTTCCGTGAATTATTGCTGGAGAAATATTACGATTCATTCAGATTTGTCTTTGGCGCCCTCATTTCATCGTCACCTCGTCCATCAACATTTCATTCATATGCCTAATCATGCTTTCTGTACTAGTTCCGCAAATAACTACTATTTTACATTGTGGTATGTCGACGCCGTGCATAAGAGCTCGGTGTCTTAAGAATGGGCTGACTTAATACACTTGTAGCGCTATGTCAAGTTCTTCGATTTTTTTCGACCGTGGAATAATATTTTTTTATTACTTGAGCTGCAACGAATCCTCTTGCCCAAAGGTCCAGAAACATCCCCAGAAAGTAGCCGACACAGTAGTGCTGCTCCTAATCCCACAGCGCGGAATTAGGCGTAGAGCTTTGTGGAAGATCAGAAAATAATTTCGTAGAAATGGAGAGGAAGCTATTAATGCTTGTATAGATTGATAGTATTTAGAATTCGCACTACAAATGTTTGAAAAAAAAATTATATAAGTTACTAGTGGCCCCGGCAATGCTTCGCTGTTGCAATGTATTACACTTCACATGCTACTGGTCACGTGATTGTTAATCACGTTTTACGCTACATTCTGCAAGAATTTTAATAGATAAAATCCTTTCTCGCGAGTATGGTTCTGGTGTGGGCATGGTTGTCAATTATCCTATTGTTAAAACGTACTCCCTGCAGTTTGGACATACATTCGCTATGACAAGGTCTTGGAGAAATTTGATTTACTTGTCCGAGATAATGTTCAAGTTCCGCCAGTAGAAGAGAACATAACCACGAAAACTTAAAAAGAAATTCTAAAAAAATATAGTAGTGAAGTTCCAAAATCTTGAACGTTTTCTTCTCTATACGCATAAGTAGGTTTCTTCAGACGGAAGCATTTAAAGGAAATGTAAATGTACAGATAATTGTATTTCCTCTTCAATTCCTTTCTTCGTATCCCGCCCTGGCTGATGTGTTCGACTGCACGAGGGCTGGGGGCTGCGACGTCGCTTGGCTAAGCGGCGGTGTGTTGTTGCAGCAGCCGCAGTATCGGCAGCAGATGCTGAACTCGATGCAGGGTCTGGGCGGGCCGCGCGGCGGCCAGCAACCCCCAGGCGGGCCGCAAGCGCCGCCGCAGCAGTTCGACGACGTGGGCAGCTTCGACTTCCTGAGCTGAGCGGCCAGCCGCGCCCAACCGGCCGACGCCCCCGCTCCGGAGCCCGCCGCCCTGCAGGGCATCGCCAGGCTCCGCCCCCGCCCCCGGCCCTAGACCTCGCCTACCGGCCACCGAGGCCTGCGGGGCGACCGCTCCCCCCTTGCCCTCCAGGACCAGGCCAGGAACGGTGCTCGCCCGCACGACACCGCTGTTGCATTTAGTGGATATAGGCATTGTAGGTTGCGTTCAAAATTACCAGCCCTTCCTTGAGGGCACCACAGTACTTAAGACAGATTAATTATATATCGTTGTTGCCTCTCAAGAGCCTAATTAGACTGATAAGGCAGTACTACAATCCTGATATCTTCCACTATGTCCACCAAACAACTTGGGATTGGGTGCACTTCACATGTCCCTCCCACTTTTTTCATGCGTTCATGTCACCCAATTGGATCTTGGTTCTCAACAGTTCTTCTCTTGTCTCGCAGTAGGGTGTCCTCTCCTTGGGGACCAGTGAGAAAGTAATGGTAATATATTGAAGAACATAACATCTTTAGAAATATTATCTATTTCATCTGTCTACTTTCCCTTTCTCCAAGGTCTTTTGTTTATCATTTTGAACAATTGAGAATTCAAGTATGTTGGTCATACTACATGCACCCAAAATTCTCTCTTGTTTTTGTCCACGGTCATATATTCTTTGTCTTGAACTGTGAAGCGGGATTACAATGAGTCAATTCTTGATCAAACCTTTGCATGACATCCTCACTCTCAACATATCTATTCTAGTTGTTATGGTTGTTTAATCAAGTGGCTGTAAATCTTTCCTCAATGAGTATTCCAGGATTTTTTTAATTGCTTCTTTTCTGTATCTGCATTAAACTAAAATGCCAGACTAAAAATCTGTCATCATTTTATCATCTAAAACACTAACACTTTTATTGAGTTTTTACAATTTTTTTTGCTTTGTCAGGTCTTTGTGCTTTTGTAAATATTGTTCTTATCTGTGTATTTGACAGAGATTTTGACTGCAAGTTCTTACAAATATTAACATAATCTCCTACTATATGGTATGAGATTTTACTTTTTATTATAAGATATCTGGTAATGAACTGTGTGTCTCGGTATGAATAGTTTTTCTCTTAAAGACTGCTACCAGAATATCAAAGACTGGCTTCTTTGAAGTGCAAGGCATGAGTTTTTGATTCAGTTGTGAAGGGTCTGAATCTTCCAAACTTCAGTTCATGCATCCGTCTCAATGTAGAGGTTGAATGTACTGTTTGTGTATAAAACCTAGGTTGTACATACAAGTGTAACTAGTTATATTTGATGTAATTCAAAAGTGATACTACATATATTTGTGATGCTTTGTGTAGAATGTGGATTATAGTCATATTAAATAATGATATGACACATCAATGTGTCATTACTTCATCAAAGTGTAAAAAATTTGTGTCTATTTTAAACAGTATTTTTGTATCTATATAAAATTGTATTATGGTTACAAATAAAGTCTAAAAACAAGCTTTTAAAATTTACTTTAATTTGTTGTATGTTTCCATTTGTAGGTATGTAATGGATGCCTGGGTACCCCATTAACAGTGCTAAAGCAAGCAAAAGCAACAACTTCAATAGAGTAAACTTCACATAACAATATTGCATTGGACTGATTTTTTTTTTTAACTTCTGGAATTTCAAAAACAATGGATTTGATTTTTTTTTTTAATTACTATTGAAGTTTGTGATTTTTTTCTCAATGCAATCTATTCCTCAATCATTCATTAATGTGCATTATTTCTTGTGGGGAAGGTGTTGTACCATGAACTTTTTTATTTTTCAATATTTTTTCTTTTTCACGATTTGAGCAGAAAAACTCGTATTATAGGATCCTTGTAACAAAAAAGTGAATAAATCCTGTTACAAAATTTAGAAAGAAAAAAAATCTGTAACACATGGTGTAGCCAGAATCCATGTTTTGTGGGTCTCACACCGACCAATCGATTGACAGCAAAACGTCTATCCGTCATTCTGTTGTATGAACAACGCTAGCGGTTAAACCATAGAGTAATTATATATGATATCTCCTTCGTCTCAGGCTAAACCATTCAGCCGCTTTTCTCGAAAATTGATATTCCCTGAATGATCTGGCTGATGTCACGCCCCTTGACTTTGAAGTTGATATTTTAATTTTGGAGGGTACTTTACGTAAAGACCCTGGGACACTTAAAAATTTTCAAAAAAATTGCGCCATTGATTTTGATTAAATTTTGTTGTTGGATTGTCTGGACGTTTAAGAGAATGGCGCAGAGCTAATGTTGGTTAAAACACTGATTTTTAGAAAATTAATTTTTTTTTTCTACCTACTACTACAATATTAAAGATAGAGATTTTTCCCTTAATAAAATCTGTTCCTTAAAGATAGATTTTGGAATGTGAACATGTACAATTTTTCGAAAATATTAGTATTTTTGGAGCAATTTTGTGTGAAATAAGCCAAGTTTTGTTTTAACATCTTTTCTCCAAAACAGCTTCATGTTTTTGATGAAATTTTGTGAACGGATAGTCTGAAGGACACAAGAGAATGGTGTAGCTCTTATTTTCGTTAAAAACTCTAATTTTTTGAAAATTGAAAATATTCAATTTTTATTGGTGTCTACAAACATCTACAATTTTAAAGATAGATATGTCTCCCTTAATAAAATCTGTCCCTGAAAGATATTTTTTGAAATATGGTCATGTACAATTTTTCGAAAATATGAGTATTTTTGGAGCAATTGGGCGTTTAAGTTAGTCGCCCATTCGGAAAATCCTGCGCCTCTTCATCGTAATTTTAATGTTTTGATGCTGCGTAAGATAGAATGTGTTTATTATTTCATATTTCTTTTGTTATCTATTTACAAATTAATCTTTTAGAAATTATTTGAAATAAATATGAAATAAAGATTACTAGCCTTCAGTCATCCGCTCCCAATTTATGCACTTGGATGCTGCGTAAGTTATAATTTGTATATTATTTCATATTTCATTGTATTATTTTTTTATCTTATTTCATTTAAAATTGCGTCCTTAAATTGTGTTAAATGTGAAACTGAATAGTTGCGCAATGATATTATTGATTGTTACCCGTTGTAATGCCGCATGGATAGCAAAAGGCGGTAATGATGGCTACTTTTCATTTGCTATAATAAAAATGAATCCTTTTATATATTTGGAGAATATTACAAATAGTATTTAATAATTGCTATTATATATTTTCCGATCTATTTGTTTTCCTATGCTGTCGGTATCTTATTATTTATTAATGTATAATTGTTTTACTTTCTCGCATATTGTTTATTTTTCCAAATATTCTACGATTTCCAATGAGTTTTACAAAAAATAATATGGAGAGAAATTGCGGTATAAATATATTTTTTTTTATTATTATTGGCCAACAGCACATCCCATTCAGAGCAAGGGCCCCCAGCTTGAGCAGGAAATTATTAATACTACTTTAATAAAGTGATTGAATGATGAGGGCAAATTTCATGCAATTTACATGGGGTTTTCTTGCACATTCCTTTCTTTTTGATCGAATGGTTTCCTTGATGCCATCACATTCTGAAAAATGCGAGACTTTGTCGTGACGTTCATCTGAAACTGATATGTTTTCTTTTTCTCGTTTCTTCGGGCTTTCGGAGGTGAGCGAAGACTGCGGATGACTTAGTTTTCTTCCTGACCTTTTCTTTGCTTGTATCAGACTCAAGCCAACATATTGGAGAAAATTGACCAGACCGATTACATTCTTTTGGAGTAGTTTTAGTTGTTTCTCTAACCGCTTTTCTTGTTCTCTAACCATGAATTGGTAATAGCTTAATGCAGTGCATGAGTAAATCATGTGTAGTGTCCACTTTCTGGATTCTACAAATGTTCTGTATAATGCTAAAAGGAAGTCGATTTTGTACACTCCCACCATTGATGAGTTATACTTTTATATGACATCTGGCCTATTTATTTGCTCTTTTCCCCCTCATTCTTGCATCATCCATTTCATCTTTCCCAAGTAATTTGAATCCATCACTATTGATTTGTTATCCTGACAGTAACAACATCTCGGGTTTTACTAACATCCTATCTCATCTGAAATAAAAGGAGAATTTGAAAATACACACTGTCTTGCCTTTCCTTCTGCAAGTATTCTCTTTCTTCGTCACACTTCAACAATTTTGTCATCTACCATATTTTAGAAGTACAGTTCTGTGCCAGTAACATTTATTCTCCCTGTAAGAAGTAGAACTACTGCAACGCAGTGTCCTAAGTGTTTCAGTTATCTCCCATCAATCTGCGTTTCCCCTTGGTAAATCAAGACGTCATGAAATAGCACTTTTCCCACACAAATGGAACATTTTTATTCCCCAGGCCAAGGTTCCCTTTCATGTACTGTTTCCTTGAAGAGGATTATCTGTTCATCGGCACACACTTGCTCTTCTAGCAGAAGTTCCATTCTATTCCAAACATCATATATTGCCCAGTCAAATGAGACAAATCCATTGAAAAATATTCAGGAGTTTTGAAACTTGGCATGATTTTTTGTTGTACATACTGCATAACATACTAAAAATCCTTAAGAGTGGGGGCTAGCCAGGGGCGGGCTAGCCGTTTGAAGGTGCTTTTCCGACGTTTTTTGCCTTATCTTCATAACTATCAATCCCACAGAAAATTATGTTTTATACAAAATTAAAGTAGATACAATTTCCTACAAAAAGTTCCTATAAGGTTTTGTTGTAAAAATTAACCATTTTAAAATTACAGGCTTGAGAATTTCTTATTTTTTGGTACAAGACCCTAGTTATCTTCCTTATAAAATGATGTTTTGATAAGTTCAGTGCACTGAAGTAATTTTATTTTTGTTCAACATTCATCAACAATATAGGAGAAGAATGGGTAAAGTGTTTGTAAAGAAAGGTTTAATTTCGTTTGAACAGAGGTAACTGACAATTTCTTCAATTCTCGTTTATTCTTTCTCCAAGTAACAATCTTTGTTAATTGTGTGTCGTCTCTTTTCCAGAACACTCTTGGCTGACAAAAAACTACTGATAGAAGAGGCGATGTTTCGTTGCACTTCTACTAATTGTACTCCCAACCTTTTCTTCTAGTATTTCGCCGCCTCAACAGTAACTATCGTCTTATGTATTATTGCAATAATATACATACATTTTGCGTCTCTCGTACGCAACCAATCTTGATAAATGAGATCTCGAAAGAAAGAGAATTTCACAGAGACGTGACAGATTGTATTCTTAAGAAAATGAGACTTGCAAAAATCCTTCAGACAATCCAACAACAAAATGTAATCAAAATCAATGACATATTTTGAAAATGTCCCAGGGGCTTCATGTAAAGTGTCCCCGAAATTAAGATATAGATTTCAATTCAAGGGGCTGTGACATCAGCCAGATCGATGGGAGATTATCAATTTTGGAGAAAATCTGCTGAACGGTTTAGCTGATAGCATGGTTCACAGACGGACACACTGATGTTTTGCCGTCAATTGACTTTTCGTTATGGAGGACCTACAAAACATGGATTCTGGCTACACCAAGTGTTAGAAAACTTTTTTTTTTTAATTTAGCAACTGGGTTCATCCACATTTTTGTTACCAGGGCCTTGAAATAAGAGTTTTCTGCTAAAAATACGCCGTTTTTTCGCACAGCATTACGTAACTTTCTCTCCTTAAGCGCGAGAAAGTAAAAATGGATGGTGGTGGCGCAATTTTAGCTTCAGATTCGGATTCATCACGTCGAAAGACATAGAGAAACATGTGTCAAGTCTTCGGATGTGACAAAATTTTTTGTGCGCCTGTGTACTTAATCAAAACTATAGTGTCAAATTGCTCATTTGAAAAAAAATATTATAAAAGGAGGAAAAATTAGTCAATAAAGAGGGAGAGCAAACATGAACGTGAGAGTTTGAGCAACAAATTAATTTGTTGCAAATGTAGGTAACGTACTGTAGGTAAAGGATAGTAATAAATGTAGGTAAAGAAGAAAAAGGGCGAGCGATTCAAATGAGGAAGATTGGCGAAAATTATCTTTATGTCTGCTTAAAATTTGCTCTGATGCTAAAACCAAGTAATGCAGATTCAAAGTCGCCTCTACTTACATAAAGAAGCCTCTACTTACGCTAAGAACCGAATATAGTAGAAAACGATAGTCCAGGCATAGGAAAAATCACTTGCGGTCGAAAATCAAAGATTTTTTTCTCTCAGGTTTGTATCTCTCAGATACACCTTAATTAAAGAGATCAAAATGAAACACTCGGGTCTACAAATTATATTTTAATTTCATTTGTAAAATAATACTTTTCAAACATTTTTCGTTCTTTCACTATTTAATTTTTTTTCTTTCTTTTTCTTTTCAGCTGACCATGCACAAATGGTATCTAAATCTTTTTGGTATTCAGAACACAAATATTTTTCACATTTTAAGGATAATATGTGGTATGTGGACAATATGTTGTTGTTGTTGTTTTTGGTCTTTCACGGTTCCTTAACAT